GGCCTCTGGCAGAATATCAGGCCGAAAATCACAGGACGTCAGCATGAGACCCAAATGCCCATTTCCCCAACCTATAGGGCCTTACACAGAGGGGCCAGCTGTAACACCCCCTAGTGGCTGTCCAGTGAAGGAGCACTCTGTTCCTTATCTGGATGCCGCGTTTCATTTAGCCGCCCTTCACGGCCCTGTGTTCACTCCCTGCTTTCCGCAGGCCTTCCCTGCTTCCCCTCGTGGACAGCCGGACGTCAGCGCTGTTCATGTGGTAATCCTGAGGACAGGATGCATTCTCAGTCCCCTCCCTCTGCATTATCAGTCCCCTGCCTCTGCATTCTCAGTCCCCTGCCTCTGCATTCTCAGTCCCCTCCCTCTGCATTATCAGTCCCCTGCCTCTGCATTCTCAGTCCCCTGCCTCTGCATTCTCAGTCCCCTCCCTCTGTGTTCTCAGTCCCCTGCCTCTGCATTCTCAGTCCCCTGCCTCTGCATACATCACAGCTTCGCTTAACAGACACTCTATATCAGGGGTGGCCAATCTTATCCGCAAAGGGTCGGTGTGTATGCAGGATTTTGGGATAACCTTTAGGTCTGCTGTTGAAGCCCAGGTGCGAGGACTCTTCAGCCAATCAGTCCATTAATTAGTAATCTAATTAGGGAGTTGCAGCGAAAACCCACATACGTAGCAGCCCTTTCTGGATGAGATTGCCCACCCCTGCTCTATACAGCGATTAACTTGGTTTCTAATTTTGTCCCCAATAAAAAACATTACTGGATATTTCACTAAAACTGGGGCAGCATCACAGCTTAGCAGTTCACAAGAGAGTGTAACCAATGGAGAACTTTATGCTGAAGCTCTCAGTCACTCAATATTGTTTCCTAATCGCTATGCCACATGCTGGCCATCTCGGGTAAATTTGCAAGTTCATTCCCAATCTCTTCTCATGTTGCTTTCAGAGGTCTGAGCGCTACACTTTTCCTTCTGGAGTCATTTTAGATGGTTCTGGAATTCCCCAGTTTCAGAGCACTTTCACCAACAGATACCTTTTTTAATTTGCTTTCTGGAGTACGAGGAGATACCTATTTGTTATTTAAAAAGACAGCCCCCCTCAGAACTCTCACAGGACACTGCACAGGCAGAAATGCTGTAGGGCAGCAAGAACTGCCTGCCCTGAAGCTTTTTATAGAATCCCATCAATCAGAGCATGTCAGGTGACCATCTGACACCCAATCTGAAAGAGAGCCAAGTCACAAACTGACCAATCAGGAGTGATCGGCAGGTCCTTTGCCTTGACCTCGTCGGCTCTGTCTAACTTCAGTCAGCTAAAGCTCAATCCAGCTCATGGAGTTTTTCAAGGTGTCAGTAACAACCGAACGGGTTGTCAAGACGACGGATAAGGCAGCGGTAATCAGCCCTGCAGTCAGCGCTGCAGAGGACTGGGCGAAATCCCAGGCAAGTATGACTTAAGAGTATAAGATTAAATAAGATGAGATAACATAAGCCACATATTTCACAGTACCCACAGTGTAACAATACTGTGAAGTAAACATGTAAATTACTATAATAATAAATATAACTAAGTTAATGACTAGCGTATGTGCAATGAACAGAGTGAAAGTGTGGTGCAATATGCTTTAATAATGAGCTGCTTCCTGGCGTGATTTGGTGGGTGGGGGGGGGGGGGCATGTTAGCAGAAGGCGCTGTGGTGCCCGATAGCAGCCGGCATGAATGACCCCCAATACTGCTGGAATAAGTCAGCAGCTAAAGATGCTGAACATAGTGCCTCCAGAAGGGGGTGGTCAGAACTGTTCATGATGTTCAGCATGTTCTGCAATTTTTCTGCCGTCTGACTCCTGAACACATGAAGGTGTCAGCGTTCTGGACCCTGAACATGGCTGTCACCATGGCAACCCCAGGGCAGCCCCCCCCCCATGGCGGGAGTGCGGCGTTCAGGTGGCAGGATGTGATAACAGCTGCGGCCCGCCGTGTCATCGCCGCGGTGACGGGCTGATGTGGGCCACTCCCTCCCCATAATGTGTCCAGGGCTTTGAAGTGTGCCTGCCCGCCCCCCCCCACTGGGGCCCCGGCGAGGAGATGGCCTGTCGTCATCCACCGCTCACCATCCCCCCACCCACAAATTCCTCTGTAGTGACTCTCCGGGGCAGGGGGGGCACGACGGCGTGTTTTTCACGGCCAGCAGATGTGTCATGTGGCTGTGCTCTGCACCTTCTTCAAAGTGCACTCTGTGGCCCCCAGCACTTGTGTAATCCCCAGCTGGGGGGGGGGGGGTTCAGCACACTTGAGGGCCCTGAGGTCACTCTGAGCTGCAGAGCAACCTGGCAGATACGGCCCATAATGCTCAGCACTGCATCGCGCTGCCAGCAACTGCGCCGTCGCCATGGAGACCCCGATACAGCTTGACTGTTAATCAGTGATTTAATCAATTAATACAGTGTGAAGTGGGTCCAACACCTTAACCACCTCTCCATCTGCTGTCCAGAAAGCAAACTGCCGTGATGCAGAATAAAAAGAAGGGGGCAGCTCAGGGAGGCGATGAGGGTTTTGAGGTTCTGTGAGGGGCTGAGGAGGTGGACCCGTCGTGAGCTCCTCCACACTCCTTCAGGCCAAGCTTTACTTCACAAAAGTCCAAGAATTAGATAGGTATGTGTGTCTGTGTGTATGAGTGTTTGTGTGCGTGTGAGCGTGTCTCAGTGCTTTAATGTGGGTGTTTGTGTGTGTCAGTGACTATGTGTAAGTGTCTGTGAGTATGGTACTGCAGACGTCTTAGACAGTCAAAGATAATGATGTTGAAATGATCTTCATCTTGGTGTAAAACTGTGTCAGCTTAGCCATTTCAACACCTCTCCTAAAGTCACTTCAGTATCTCAGTAACTATGCCATACACCCGTAAATTTTCTCACATGACCATCATCTTCACTACTTTTGGTTAATTGATACATCATTGAGTTATTTAACAAAATAAGATTTACTTCATTGACCTGGTGTTGAGATTTAACAAATACATGCAATGTCTGGGGTGCCCCTGAGAAGAGGTTTGGGAACCGAAGCGACGTTCATCTACCTCTCCAATAAGATATCAGTGACTTTTTGGACAGCGGAAGAAATATTTCTTTGTTTCTATTTTGTTCCTGTTCATTTGCATATGTTCTAATGTTAAATTCTGTTTATTGTGAGCATACTACCCAGATAAATAGCCGTAAACATTTCCTTCGACTGCTTAACACTTTAGCACAGTACACTTTGCCTCCCTCGTCTGTTTGTGCTCCCGCCAGGCAGTACAGGTGTGCCCCCCCCCCCCCAGCTCTGTGATCTCCAGGTAAGGGCAGAACACCTGGACCCGATGTCACACCAAACATCCTCGTAAAGCATGGCTCACGCCCGAAACTGGCGGTGACTCATCAGGCTGCCCCACACGGCCGTCGTCTCGCTGGCGAGCGTGCAGACATCCACCCCTCTCAGCGGCTTGTGTCATCGCATGGTGACGCGAGCGTGAACTCATCGGATTCCTCACACTGCTTGGCAGTGATGTAACTCCGAACCAAGCCATGCCGACTGCAGTGAACCTGTTTGGGTCACCATGCCAACAACAGCAAGCCCATCTGGGTCACCATGCCAACAGCAGTGATCCCGGTTGGGTCACCATGCCGACAGCAGTGAACCCATTTGGGTTACCGTGTCAACAGCAGTGAGCCCGTTTGGGTTACTGTGTCGACAGCAGTGAGCCCGTTTTAAACATTTTAAACTTGTGCACCTCATATGCAGTGTCTCTGGGCTCAGGGGTCGTCTGGAGTGAACAAACCCTGGCTGATCAGTTACAATCATGTAGAAGAGGGCCAGAGAATGCTGGGAAGGTGGAAGACCATGTAATCCACAAAGAGCCTGAGTCCGGTCCACTGCTCTTCCTGGTCACGTAGGGCTTTCTTCCCTGTCTCTGCTCCCAAACTACAGAGCTCAGATTAGACCTCACATAACATTGATCAAACTGCAGTGAAACCATCGATCCAACTGAGTAATTCCAGTGGATTCCAGTTGCTGGCGGTCACCCAGAGAGCCGTGTTTTTGCACGCCAGTATGTGGCCAGTGTGGACGCAATCTGCAGTACTCTGTAAGGAAAGCCGCTGGCCTCACATTCGCAGTGTCTCAGACGGAGAGTGCAGGCTTCACAGCGCAGCCTCAAATGGACCAGTCTCCTGAAAGGGTCCAAGTAGCTCATCATATCCCATCGCAACTAAAAATGCCTGTCCTACCTGACATCTAGCTGTATGATTTGCAATCACTGGACCGTTTATGAATAGTGCAAAGTAACATGAACTCTCTCACAGCAGAGGGGAGTTAAGCTGTTATCCTGAGAGTATGCTGAGAGTAATGTGTCTCAGGACAGGTGGTGGGCTCTCCACATGGCCCAGGTCTCTGATATTTTATGACAAATTCAGCACAAGGGACCTGGTAATGTGCATCAGAGAGACACTGTAAAAAGCTGCGGTGGTATCAGAGGGCAGATATCAAACAAGAGCACCCCATCTGCCTGGGGACAAGTGGGCTCTTTACCCCCCACCCCCTGTCAGAGCCGGGGTGGATCACAGCATAGAGGCAGACAAGCTTCAGCACGCTGAACACAGGCTGGACTGTCAAGGAGCCAATAGGACGAGTGTAATGAGGGGTGGGCGGGCACTCTTTGGGGAAGATCCAATGAGGGCGGGAGGTAGGCGGGATCACCTCAAGGAAAGATCAATGACAACAAACACACCCACAATCACACACTCAGACATTCATACACGCACACACACAAACACCCAGACACACACACAGACCTACACTCATATCTTTGTGGGGACCATCCATTCGTTTCTATGGGAAAAACCCTCATCCCAACCCAGCTCTAACCTTAGCCATAAGTAAGCAAACAAAACACAAGTTTTGGCATTTCTAGTTTTTTGATTGCAGTCAGATTTTTTTAAAATTGTGTTTCCCCTTGTGGGGACTGAAGAAAATGGTCCCCACAACGTCAAAATAACAGGTTTTTATAACATAGTGGGAAGACACACACACACACAGACCTATACTGGTTTGTAATACTTTATTATACTTTTTGTAGTGTAAAATTGCAAAGAGACAATAATATCATTGCATATCACCATATAATATATCTTGATATATTTATCCTTCATACAGAACCTACATCTATATGCTTATCTGTTTATCCATATAATTTGTTCTACCTTGTCATCATATTGACCATTTTCCTGGCAGTCATTGTTAAGCTAACAGATCATTGGTCAATGCTAATAGTTTTATGACGGTGCTATTATCACTGCAGCAAGAGCAGCTTGGCACTGTGACGTCACGGGCAGCAGGTCAGTGCCGTCATGCACTGGGAGCTCAGTGCTGCTGGCTGCTGTCCCCACTGGGCTGCACTTTCGGGGACAAAAACCAATAGCTAATTATCAGCTAAATGCTAATAGCTACTTGGCTAATGTTTTTATTACTCTGGGTCTTGACTTTGAATGTGCTTGGCCTCTGCAGCCTGGAGCCCCCCAGTGCTTACGTACCTGCCCCCCCTCCAGTCACTGGGCCGGCTGGAGGTGACAGGCAGCGTGCAGGACCCACCACAGGGAACCAACTGGGCTGACTACTGTGAGGCACCCCCCCCCCCAAGGTATGCCGTGCGGCCCTCCCCCGCATGGGGGGTTTTTTGGGGTGGGAAAACCCCGTGTGCATCGGGCGGGTCACGGCGGATGTAGACACCCTGCCCCTCCCCCGACTGAGACAGGCTCTGGCCCACCATCACAGGCTCGGCAAGATCACAGGAGCAGAGGATCCAACCATCCATCTGGCTGGGAGGAGATACACAGAGCAGAGGGTATAAAACACCCCCCCACACACACACAAAGGTAAACAGCTCTGCAGGTACACTCGGAGAAATCCCCCTCCCTCCCTCACCAACCCACCCGCCCCATCCCCCCTGCAGGTGCTGCCCTGTTGGGAAAAGCCCCTATCCTGGTCACTCGCTCGGAAACTCCAGCTTCCTGTAAACTATCCGCTTCACAGGGAACGTGTATCTGGATGAAGCAGGCGGTGGGACTGAAGCTGGAGATGCAGGGGAGATGGAGAGATTAAATCTACGTGAAGCTCTCTCTTTCTGGCTGTACTATGACTGGATCACCTTGGGGGCTTTCAGTCAGGGATCATTGAAAAAAAAAAAAACGCATTTTCAATCCCCCCCCGCCCACACACACACACACACACACACACACACACCTTATTTACAGACCGGCTATGTGAGCGTCAGCACACATCACTCTGCCCCACCAGCAGAAGGGCTCTGACATCCCTGGAAATTCGAAAGAAGCCCAGTGACCTCTAGGGGGCGCCACACAAGCACAGCCCTGCCCTCTGGGGATGGAAATACTTTTGTTTTCTCTGAGGGTTGCTTAAGTAAACAGATCTAATTTTGTTTATCGGACTTTCTGGCTGACAGCATTGAATAAAAATAGTTTCATTTTAGCAAACAGCCACAGTATTGTGGGGTCACACACAGTGCATTAGGGTTACACACGGCACACTGAAGTAATGCACAGCACACTGGGGTCACATACAGTGCGCTAGAATCACACACAACATGCTAGGGTCACATACAACATGCACGCACTTTACTGAGACATACTGGATGGCTGAAATACAAAGAGATGACAGATCTGCTTCTCGCTTTGCTGAAATGGTTTTATTCCACAGTCAGTGTCCTGCACTTCTCACAACACCTAGAAAGCAGCAAGCCAGGCTGGTCCTCACACAGTGGAGGTGGCACAGTAACACAGTTTGAAATGCAAGGGATCATTTAGAAAATACTGCCTCCAGCAAGACCAAACAAGGTCTCCACCTCTCTGACACCCATGGAGACGGTGTCCCAAAACTGACCTACTTTTTATATAGAATATTTACCAGTGAAAAATATATTCTCAAATAAATAATGATCTAAAATAAATATATGTCAAAAATGCATAAATAAAGTCATTTGAAATGGTACCAGCTGCAATGTGCTCTCTCAGGGAGATTTCCCAGAGTCCTTTGCTCAGTCTCTCAAGGCAGACCCTTCAGTCGAATACCTCCGTGAAAAACTCCACTCCACTCAGTTTCCCGGACTAAAGGAATTGAATGAGGACAGCTGGGTGGGTCCTCCTCTTCCTCCTCTTCCCATGTGAGTGAACCCTAGCCTTAAGGGGGGTCCGAAACATTCATGTGTCACCAGCCAACATGGTGCGCAGGTCAGAATTCCCCACGCTGGTACCCTTACCACAGAGCCCTACCACCCCGATCATTGCCCGCCACTGCCATCAGATGATCTACAAAAACGAAAATGTGGGAACGTTCCAGAAGAGTCTCGAAAATTCCAGTGCTGCTGGCGATACTTCAACTGGGACCCAGAACCTCACTGTACAACTGCGGCACCCGATCTGGGTCCACGGGCCGCGGCAAAAAGTGCGTGAAGCGCTGGTGCCGCCTGGATCTGGCACCGTCCCGCGACGTACCATCTTTGTTCAAAGCCACAAAATAGTGAGGACCCTTGTCTCCATGCTTGTAGATGTTGGAGGAGTACGTGTTGTACCAGTTCTCCTCAAACTGCTCCCTGAAGACACACTCGGCAGTAAGTTTTTCCTGTAAAGAAAAAACAAACAAGATTACACGCGTTACATAGATGGGCAATTTGGCGCCACCTATTGATTCCACAACGACATCACCGATTTGTAACCTAAAATATGTAATTTTATGTGGATGCTATCAGAACTTCTTACAAATTCCTGTAATTATTAATGACGTGCTGAGTGTATTCCATGTTTAATTCACTTCAAAGGGTCACTTACGGATCCGTAGAGCTCTCCCCGCTCGTTCATGGCCAAGTACAAGCCGCTGTCCACCCCGCGCATGCTCACCATGCCCACGGCCAGACTGATGAACTCCAGGATACCTGTCGGCAAACGCACACTATAGCTTCAATTGCGCATTATATTAAACAGAACTAACGAACAAATCAAATGAGAAACAGATGAGAAATCTGGAGTCAAGTTACTAAAATTTTAGTTCAGGCTTTAATGTTATTGCTTAAAGCTTTGCGAATTAGAGCCACACAGCCGGCTGCTGCGCGCGCTGTAATAAAACTTTTTCATAATATCCCTCGTTATTTACCGTTTTATTTTCGGGACTCCAAAATCCGACGTAAATACAGCACGATTTAGCCACGTGTGGGGTGACACTAGTTAGAGGATTCCAATTTGGGGCTCACATTGTGTACCACCGACCAATGCAATATAAATAACGAATATCAGCACTGATACGTAAATAATTAAGTTATAAAAAAAAACACCAGTTATAGCCTAGATCTAGTCCGTATGCTCACCGAATCGGCTGTGGTCTTTCCTCGTCCCCTGCACGGTACCATCGGGTAGAATTTCCAGATGAAAACCAGTCCTGCAGTAGAGCTGCCTCCGCCGGAGGATGCCTTTCAGGTGCGTGAGGTCTGCGGGGGCACTCCTGGACAGCCTCTCCGCCGGGACCAGGTGATGGCTTAGCAGGGACGCGCTTCCCGTGGCCGGCGTCATCGCGAAGTGGGACCCCTGAGCGAAGCCATCTAAGCCGGGGAAGAAGCTCCCCACTTCGGCTACGGCAGCCATGGCAAACAGGGAAAGTTGCAGCAAGTGAAGTCTCGTAGGTCGTCAAAAGGCGTCGTGACGGATGAGAGCCGCTTCCTAGCGCATGCCAGCTGTCCGTGGAGCCGGTATCCCCTGCTGCAGTCCCGCGGGATGTCCCGGCCAGTGAGATGCACAGCTCAGATTCTGCTCCCGTTTATATACATCGCATATGTAAATATGCTCTTGACATATGCTAATGACTCTCTTTATAGATTCCCTTTTGAAACCGTACTCCTTGATCCTTGATGCGCTCGCGGCTTTGATGTTAATTTTTCACCTGGATCACACAGTCCATCGCATAGGCGGATTAGCAAAAGCGAAGCAGTCGATACATGTAAAAAAAAAAAAAAAAGTCAAAGAGTTGCAGAATATGGATGTTAAGTGTCGGGGTTTCGATACCGCGTTGCGGTGCTGGTTAGGGAACTTGGACAGGTTGCTGCAGCCCGCGTGGACCGCGCTGCTGGCTGAGAGCCTCTCGTACGTCCGGCAGGTGGAGGAGGCAAGAGGAGCCGGGGGGCGGCGCTCCGGTGCGCGGACATCCCTCAAAGGACGAGTATGTCTGAAACTGCCACCATCAGATCCGATTCCAAACTGCTCGTCTTAGTCGCTGACACTGCACTTTGACGCAGTAAACCTTGACGGAAGAAGACGAAACGCACTACCACAATGTGAAGGAAAATCCGACAATAATACCTGACCAAGAAGCCAAATCGCTTCACAAGCCAGCGCCCAGCAATGCACATTGTTAATATCTACATAAGGTGTAATACAGAAAGCGTGCCTATACAACGACCCAACAGCATCAATATGCCGGATTAAACTATGGAGAATAACAGAAATTTCCCCTTTTAGCCTAACTTCACATGCAGGTGTGATTCGTGTTACGATTTCTGTCATAACGCTGTTATGTGGTACACTCAAAAACAACCATCATAAAGATATCACACCACATCTGTACAAACGCTGTCACTTCAGCGTCAAACGCGCACTGATCCCTCATCGCTTTGAACACCATGTTCTTAATTGCGGTGTAAGAATCAAAGAGCCAGCGATCAAAGTACAGAAACTCGGGGCAATACCAGCTATGCCTGCTCAAGGCGAGATGACTTATTACCTGCACAAAGGAGAGGGACCTCCGGCTCAGGCGCTCAGAACCACCGTTTCCCGTAAATCCGCCAAGTTACGTAGTCAAAGCAAAGAAGAGATTTTCAGACTCGGTGACTGAAAACCACAGCACCGGGACCTCCTCGTGAACGGAGAAAGAGCGGCGTTTCTGGGGCCATTGATTCTGTCAAAGCAGGCGAGCAACCGGTGACTCTGAAAGCGATCGACTAACAGCAAATAACCCAAAGTACCACATCCTTGCCCTGGTAATTCATCAAACGGACTGTCTCTGTGGACTGTGGCCCTCCCTCCCCGGTACCCCCGGGCTCATTAGTATTTATGATTTCCCAAAATGCTTTAAAACAAGATCAATTTGGCCATTAATCCATATGAAGATTGATGTTCGACAATGAAGGCGTCAATTACATGCCAAGTTCTGGGATGAAAGTGCCCTGATATATCGTTAATTTGTGCACAATTTTTGTTCTTTGGACTCTTCTGAACATTAACATCACTTTTTTTTTTTTTTTTAACAAAAGGGTCATGAATGAAGAGGCTTTTCCGCCGTGCACCTCGGACACCAGGCTATACCGGTCCCTTAACTGACCCGTCGCCGTAGGAAAGGCTGAGGCAGCGTAACTGAACTAATTAAAAACCATCGATCTAAACCCGATGGCTTGTTTTGTCAACGCACCAACCTTTAGGGGACGTTGAAATGATTATACTGCTTGGTTCGAAGTGGTTTATGATTAAGCAATTTCAAGAAGGCGGTTTCCCAAGAACACCATGCCGAATAAAAAAAAAATCCCATTTTCCTCTGACAGCCTGAACAACGATTAACCAAAGAGAAAGACGCGCAAAGCAGCGACAAACAGCCGCTTAATAATTTGCAAACCATTGCGGCGACTTTTTCGGTTTTAGGCATCATTACGACTGAGAAACACTAAGAGCGGGTTAACCATGCATATGCAATTTATCAAGGCGTATTAAGCGGGTGGCAGTGATTACTTTGCAATTTAAAAACGCGCTGCGCGGTCAGTCCCAAACCATGACACCGTTCATCACCATTGGTTCACATGCGGCAGGGCAAACCCCATGTCTCGCGATGTGCGGGGACAAGGAGCCTGTGCACAGCCATAAACGGCGATGACAACCATGGCTGCGCTGCGCAGGCTGCTGTCAGCAGCGAGCGGTTCCCCGCACCTTCGCTTCGCTTCCACGAGGCCCGGCGATCGCTTCGCGGCCAGCAGCCGGGGGCGCGTCGTGGCCGGGATATGCCTGGCTGCCGGGGGCGCCTTGGTGTATTACTGCTGCGGGCAGATGTATGAACAGCGGCGTCGATCGAGGCTGGTGTACGGCATGACCGGCCGAGCCGTGCTGCCTTCTCTCCCCGCGGTGGTCGCCAAAGAAAAGGTAACACGAACGCCGAATTTTATTTAGTTTTTTTTTTTTTGCCGCGAAATTTGTATCCTCTCCCCATAAAACACATTGTAACATTTCCGGAAGCGTTTCGATGCAACAACTATTTTGTTTTGTTTCTGGGTACCATAGAAACGATTGTCTACTTCAATTGTTGCTTTATAACTGAATATCTGGAATATCTGTAAGGGGTGTATGCAACTGAAGCACCAAGTTCTGGCATCTGCGACTTTTAGTTGTATGCCTGGCTGCCGGGAGGCGCCTTGGCGTTTTATTGGTCTCCGGGAAACACGGTGCCCGCCTTGCTATTATCCTCCCGTATCTGTACCGTCCCGATGACAGGCGCTCTCCGCGGCGGACAGGTGCTGAAGCAGTCCCCTGTCATCCCGCGTTATCGGGACACATCTTTTCCGATCTGATGCACAGAAATGAACGTATGCATTCATAACACATATAGGTATTAAATATCATTGAATATATGAGTGCTCCGACACTTCGTTCGCTTTTATTGCCACGATTGCGGCGGGCAGAAACTCAGTGGGGTTCGCGTCTCTTTTTCCGGTCCGGCCAGAAGAGCAAAGCACCGAGCCCATTGCTCGTAAAACGAATCAGATGCCAGAAGCCGTACAGCGCCGGAAAATACTCCGCCGCGGAGGCTTTCACTCATTCCACGTCAACAGATGCTCTCCTGTTACAAGTTCAGGATCTTATCGAGGACTTTGGGTTTAATTATAAGCGTCAAATGAAGCCGATATCGTGTCTAAATGGCGTATTCCACTGTTCCTCCGCCTTTTTTCTGGGTCTGACGCTGGAAAATGTTGATATCCGCCCCGCCGTCTCCTCAGGCGAGTCCATGGCATCATTAGCAGTGACATAAATATAAATGAGCAGCTTCGCATTGTCTGGAGTATGTTTTTATATGTTATTTCAGACACTACTGTTCTGGATTGAATCCAGATTTGACGTGTAGCATATATAGCAATTATATTCATATAGTTTTTTTCTCTGATCACGTGATAGTGATGCTACTGGAAAGGCAGTGTCATGCAGTGCACACCGTACATTTTAAGCCACGGACGTGGGGTGGGGTTGGTTATGTTTTCGGAACGATTTCAAAACAGCAACAGGACCAGTTAGGAATAGGCCTATCCGCCCGGCATACTTGTACGTAATATGTGAGATGACACTTAACATTTAACCTCAGTGATTTTCTTTTTTGCAGCAATTTCACGTGCCTTGATTTAACACTAATGACACAACACTGATCATTTAACTCACGAGTTTTTTTTTTTTAAGAGTTTCGTAATTCCTCAGTGTTACGCATATTTTCAGCTGGCTGACATCTTTTTTTACGGCCATCTGTAAACAAACCCAGAAAATCCGGTCGGTGTGCTCCTCCACGATGTCGGCACATCGTGTTTAAAGTACCGGGGACGGGTTATTTATAGACTGGGTGAAGCGGAGCGATGTTTGAAAATGAACAAATAGTCGCTGGTATTTAAAGCGATAGTGCGCTGCACAGTCACGCATTACTCAGCGATGTTATCAGGGTAATGCGTTAAATGGAATATAGGGAGCTTTTTAATTTTTTAAAGCTGTCAGTAAACCGGGTCCTTTCTCGAGGCTCTTGCTCATTTATTGTTGCATATTTTTGCGGTGCTATTTTGACCAACTGAGACTTTTTTTAAGGGATCGTTTAAGACTGCGGTGGGCGTGATGCATATCCTCCCCAGAGAGATTCTGTGTGGCCAAACCGTAGTTTACGACTTAAAGCTGCCAGCTTGCACATCTTGTTCATCATTTTGGACGAGCCGAACCAGAAAGCCCCGCCTTAGACGCCTTAACGAAAACAGGTGCGGATTCAGCGAGGCACCGCCCCTCTGCTGCCGCGCCCCCCCACGCAGCCCTATTAGATGCTCATTAATTGGCCACACCTGAGCATGATTGGGCTCAGGAGCCCACATGCGGATGCCCGCAGGAGCAGAGGGGCGTGGCCTAGCTGGCCGCTTGCCACAGTGCTTCCGTAAAACTCTGGGAAACCCCTCGCCTCATTTTCCACCTTTGCCTGCTAGTAATGTCGCGCTGTAGTAAATGTGGCCAGCCTGAAGCCTTTTCGGTCTACTCCTCTCAAGAGGGATTGATCAGTTATGTTTAGGTCAGGATTATTCTGCCTTGGCTGCTGCGCCACCTATGGGCCACTTGGTGAATGGTTGAATGGTTGCTTTGGGCCACAGATAAGGTAGGGGAATGTCTGGAGTAGGTTAGGGAACCCTGAGAGGTAGTCATCGGATATGATTTTTTATTTTTATTTTTGTCAGGGACCTTCTGAGTGAGTGTATCTGTTTGGGACCAGGGGGTGCCCAGCATGAGGTATGGTGCAGCCCCCCCCCCCCCCCGGATGCGGGACCCTCGGCCCCTGCTCACTCCATCCAAAACAGTCAGCTCGATGACTCGCATTCTTCACATCAATTCATATAATTGTGGTTGATCACAAGCTATAAAAGTCCATTCTGTTTGAAACACAGATTTTTTTCACTACCCAGTAATTTCATTTACTACAAATTATGTGTCAGTGTCATGAACAGATTTATTTCAGACCCCTAAACTTATGCATCATTCGTTGTTTTTAGCGTATGTGTTAATTCTTTCCATTAAAAAAACAAGCGAAATATTGAAAAAAATGGCATTTTACCTTATATTGCTGTAATTACTTTTGTACAGCAGTAATTGTTTCCCTGGCGAGGGGCAGTAACCTTAACATCAGTAAATGTGAATGTCGCATCATTGGGATTCTGGATTCTCCCCTTCAGCTGGAAGATATTTTTCTATATATCTTTGTTGTGAATAGTTTCTATTTCCAATGAAAATCTAGAGAATCTTTTGATTTAGTTTCTGATTAAGTTTCAGTTTCTGGTTAAAATTTAGTCAAGGCACAACAATTGTATTGTCAATGAATATTAGGCTTGAAAATACAATTTTAAATAGAACTTCCTGTATAAACCACACCTACTTCCGATCTTTTGTCCGAATACAGATACAGGCAAAGATAATTTTGTTGGTTGAACAGATACGGATAATGACAGTGCTGTGCATCTCGCTTGTAAGATGTTAACGCACCTTTTAAGCACATAAAAACAATTACATACACTCCCCTACTTACGAATGAGATACGTTACGAACGGCCGTTCGTAACTTGGAATGTTCGTAAGTCGTTATTCAACATCATTTTAAGGGCATACGCAAGTACAAAGAATTAGGACACTGGGAGTACGCAGGCTACGCTGCTGCGGGGCGGGAGTAGCGGCCAGAAGTCTTACTATCCGGAATTGGCGCACAGGAAAAAAAAATTGATGTTGCGGACAGGAAACGGGGAGACTAATGAACACAATTTGGACAGTCCTCTTCGTTTATATGTCTGAAAGTTCGTAGGTTGAAAGTTTGTAAGTAGAGGAGCGTCTGTATTTCTGTTTTATGCTTTAAAAATGTTTACATTCGAATGGAAGCTGTCTGTAATGATGGGTGAAATGGTGAGGAGGTGGGAGCATAGCGAACTGTCAATCGCATGCTTCCCTGTCTTCCCATTGGTCGGTTTCCTCTAGGTTCAGGCATAGAGCTTGTGAGTCAGCTGGCTCTGTTTTCCCATCACTGGCTTGGAGGTTAACGCCGGAAAACCCTATTGTTTCTTCCCAGGCCGGAACGATCGAGCTGGACGACACAGACGTGTACATGTCCTCCCACGAGCAGCGGTTCCGCTTGTTCAGCTCCGTGGAGTACGAGGGACAGCTGTACATGACCCCGCAGAACTTCATCGAGTCCGTCACCATGAGCGAGCCCAAGAGTGAGCATCAGAAGCAGGGCGCTTTGATCCGCTGGGCACTATCTGTGCCGCTAGACTTCCTGGCATGTTTCTCAGTGCTGAGCTGCCTTTAGCACGCTGGCATGTGCTGTGCTGAGCCCTCTCTTGTACTTTAATACTGCCGCAAGCTCACGATTCTGTTTTCCACGCCGCTGGGCAGCAGCTATTCAGAGAAGACACGTTACCCCCAGCTATTGGGATCATTAACACTACTGATTAACATATGTTATAACTGCAACTTGCACTTTACATATTTTCTCTATTTTGTCTTCATATAATCTTTATACATTTCTATATGACTTATTTTGTTAGCTTGCACTCTGTGTTCATGCTGGAGTGGCCTGTAGGCTGCTGTAATGTTGCTTTGTCATTAAAGATCCAAAATGCTTCCTTCATGCCTCACAGTCCAGGCCTATTTGCGTGGTTTGCATGCTTTTCCTAAGTGATCGAAGTGACTCTGAGGGCTGAATCGCCCGTGTGGATCTGCTGGTGGACAGACAGTCCTGCTGGGTTGGTGAAAATATTACCGAAGGCCCGTATGTGATTGATCGGGTAGAATTTAGGGGACAGTCGCAGAGTTATGAGATATGAGCTCCGTGTGGCCAGTAAGGTCGTAATAATGGGAACAGTCTTGGAAACTGATCAGATTTTATGCTTGGAACAGAGGATCTGAGAGATTTTTAGGTTTGAAAAGCAAGTCCTCCTAGATGATGTGTGCCAGTCTCAGGAGGCCGTGAGAAACGGTGAAAGCCCCCCCTCCACATCGCTGGGAAGGGATGGTCTTGATTTTCGCCCTCGCAGGCTCTCTCCCCCCCTCTCTCCTTGTGAGGCAGGCGCTGTAAATACGGGTTAATGAGCACAGTGCTTGGACTGCTGGGGAATATCCGTGGGCTACAAGTGGGCCTTCGTTAGGGATGAACAGGCGGCTCATACAACAGACTTTTTCACTATTTATGATGGTGTTTATGTCACTTTCTGGCCGCCTGCCCGGGAATGCCGATGACGTCCGGGTGGCGTACATTATGGGATGGCTCACTGTGCTGGAGGGAACAGGTCTGCTTCATTTGTCCTGAATGGCACCAATTGCCAGAGGGATCTTGTATATCTTAAATATTAAGCCCCATTTCTGCTGTTTGGGTGGGTAATCAGGTTCTGTATTGTTGTGCGGGGGATCAGGTGTTGGATCACAGGATGCAGGATAGACTGCATTCTTCTCTGAAATCATCAGCAAGCAGTTATCTGTAGCTGACTCCTGTGATATGTAGCAGACATGTACCCAAGCAGTGTGGAGATGCTGGCGGATGGTGACAGACCCAGATATCCCTGTCTGTCCCTGTGTCTGTCACAGTGCCTCTCTCCTTGTCTGTCTATGTGTCTGTCCCTGTGTCTGTCACAGTGCCTCTCTCCTTGTCTGTCTATGTGTCTGTCCCCATATCTGTTCCGGAGTCTGTCTCTGCATCTGTCTCTGTCCACGTGTCCGTCTCTGTTTGGGGCTTGGGTAAAAACTGAATTCCTGCTGACATGATGCCATTGGTAGTGATGTGTGTGTGTGTGTGTGTGTGTGTGTGTGATGTGTGTGTAGGCAGAGCAGGTCTCCTGTTTCCATGCCTTCTGCCAGGTCCCGGAGGCTGGTAGGACAGCACAGCACCTCCTCGCAGTGCATCAGGACAAATTAATAACACACCCTGGAGTCATTCCCGTGGCGTGTTGATGATTTAATCGTCCGATATGTGTGTTTCACGTTTGAACTTCCATGTCATTTACGGAGCCCAGCCTGCTTCATTGGTGCTGGGCCTCTGACCGGCGGGTCTGGGTTCAAGTCCCCAGGATGAGGGCGCTAACGTGAATGCATAGTGATTATGGCTAATTCATCTTTCTTCATTCATAGCAGAGCTCAGAGATCCCAAATACAAACATAACCCTAGGTGCTCATGGTTGCTGTTTCTGTTCTTCTTTTCAGACAGGAAGCCATGGAGGTCCCTCACCAAGCAGGTCTGGTCACACTGACATTCCTCACGCTTACTCTACTGGCAAAAAGCCCAGCCATACATGTCTTGACCATCAGATGAGCTCACTTCCTCTCTCTGATGACAGAGGGGAGTTACTGTGGTTTGTTTGGTCTATCTGGAGGTTTTTGCACTGTCATTGACTCTGCTTCACGTTCCCCAAAGGAGCTGGAGAAGATCCTGTCTGAGACGCCTCCTGTCTGGAAGGGGACATCGAAACTTTTCCGGAACCTCCGTGAACGGGGTGAGAATTTGAGTTTCTGGGTAGCGGTGTTCCCTGTCACATGTCCCCATGAGTCATGTGTCTGGTTAGAGCTTGAGCTCAGAGATAAAGCTGATTTTATTTACAGGCCAATGGGAATCAAGCTTCCCGCCTCCCCGTGGTTGAACACCAATCAAACATGCACTAGCTGTTCTGTACCAGCAACCTCCTCCCCCAGATCAGTGACACTACTCTGCTAGATACTTAATTCCCACAGATTAATGACATTGTTCCTAATCATCCTAATCATCTGCAGAGCGCCTCTTCCAAAAAGCAGCTTTTAAAAATGTGCCACATGAGACTTGAATCATCAGTTGATAGAAATGTTGGATGAAACAAAAGGGCAGTAATTAGAATGATTATATTGCAAGATATATTTACACAAAATAGTACTCATATAAACAGTACTAGTACCAGTTATACTGGGGATGTAAATCTGATAACAGTTAATGCCTTTAATGTTTCTTTGTAAATGGGAGGAATGTTCAGGAATCGGCAATCCCTTGGTACAGGAAGGATTCAGCATTCACATAGAAGTGCCCGCCCCAGTTCCCTCGCTGTGGGGGCTCACTCCTACATGGCAAACTCACCCAGACACATATCTCCTTTATCCAGACCTCCCATTCCAGCTGAAAGATGTGGGCATTTTTGCCATTAATCAGGGCATTAAATGTTGAATCACCGCATATAAAAAAATCGTAACAGGACTCATAAATGAACAAAGGAGTTTAGAAAAATAAGTCCCTCCACAGGGGGTCAGGCGAATTTTAACACCCCAAACCCCCCTCCCCCCCCACCTTTGAGTGGATCCACCCGGCTTGGGCCTCAGAGTGTTTGGGTTTGCGGCCACTGTCGATGGGGGGATGGGTGGAGTCCTGCTCTCACTGGGAGCACCAGACGGGCCCCCATCAATGTAAACTTTTTAGGGGTGGGGGCCGGCGCAATAGGGGACCCATAAAAATGCTGTGTGTTCCTCTTGCAGGTATCATCGCCTACACAGAGTACCTCTTCCTGCTCTGCATTCTGACCAGTAAGTGTGTTTATTATTAGTTGGGGGGGGGCGGGGCATTAACAGAGTTTTCCATGTGACCTCATGGGCTCCAAGAGCTAACCACAGGGGGAATCAAGAGGGCTAAGCTAATGAAGTGGTGCAGTAGGGCCCAGCTAATGGAGAGACACTGTTGGTCTAAGCTAATTCAGCAGCGTTGTAGGACTAAGCTAATATAGCAGCATTGTATGGCTAAATTAATGGAGAGATGCTGTAAGGCTAAGCTAATGGAGAGATGCTATAGAGTTAAGACAATGGAGAGACATTGTAGGGCCAAGGTAATGGAGATACACTGTAGGGCTAAGCTAATGTAGCAGCACTGTAGAGCTAAGCTAATGTAGCATCGCTGTAGGGTTAAGATAATGAAGAGATGCTGTAGGGCTAAGGCAATGGAGAGACACTAGGGCTATGCTAATGGAGAGACGCTGTATGCTATGCTAATGGAGAGACGCTGTAGGGCTATGCTAATGGAGAGACGCTGTATGCTATGCTAATGGAGAGACGCTGTAGGGCTATGCTAATGGAGAGACGCTGTATGCTATGCTAATGGAGAGACGCTGTAGGGCTATGCTA